TGGAGCGAGAAGTGAAGCCAATCCAAACTAGTTCAAAGTAATGTTTAGAGGGATCCCCCCTCCCTGGATACATAATGTTTTCAGAGCTGGAATAAACTTCAGAGATTATCTTGACCATTATACAGATACAGAACATTAGTGACTACAACTCTAAGGAGCTCACCAAGCACTTAGAGGCCCACAAAGCAACAATTCAATAAATGCCCACAGTAAATACCTCTGAGTGAATTTAAGACAAAAATGGCAGCCAAACACAGGAACGGCAGCGCTTCAAAATGGCCTACTATGGAGATGTGGGAAGGACCAGGAGCTCTCAGAAGCCCCACACCACAAGGTTAGAACTTTGAAGTGACCATGTGGTACTTGGCCCGGGAAGAGATATGGCCAGCAATCTGTTCTCCTAGAGTTGGTGGGCCAGGAAAAGGGAGAGGGGTTCCCAAAAATACATGTGAATCTAACAAAGTTTTTGCTATTTGATCCTCACAACTCTGCTTACTGCTTGGCAAACAGTATTACATTCACTAAGTATTTGTTAAATGCATGAAAGAAAGAAAGAGAAGACAAGAGGGACAGACAGAGACATATAGGCAGAAAAAAATAAATTATCCCCGCTCCTATGAGCTAAGCAGGCTACTAAGTGTAATATTGACCAGGAAGTGGGGCCATTTGGGTGTCTGATCCAAAAGTGATGGAAACTGATTGCTAGTCATTGAAAGGAACATGAGAGCTCTTGAGTCAGAAATACCTGGGTTCAAACTCAAGCTCAGTATGATGTTAGCATAAGTACTTGACCTCTTTGAGCTGAAAAGATGAATACCACCTGCTTCACCTCCAAAATATGTACAATGGTGCTTAGATACTTATCTTTGTGGTAGATTACATGAGCTAATGGATGTATGCAAAGTAGCCAGCACCATGGTCAGCACATAGCACATGTTGGAACCAATCATGCCCTCCACAGCCAGAGTCTATATCCTCCCTAATTCTACTCCATAGTTCTTTCTGATACCAAAATGCAGAAATAATTCTAGTTTAAGTTAACTAGATTGTCTAATAAAGTACATTTATTTAAATAAATAATAATATCGAATATACATTCCCTTTCAATTAGCAAAGTAATTTTACATACAGACATAACAATTCTGAAATGATGCATTAATGCTATTCATGTTCAATAGATGATACAAATAAGACCACACAGCCAGCAAGAGGCAGAGTGGAACTATACATTTTAATATTTTATTATAACCACCATGCTTTTCTCAATCAAAAATTCAAATAGGAGATCTTATTATAGAATAAAATACTTGAACTCAGATTGCTCTATTAATCACTTCAGATGCTACTTGTATGATGCTTATAGATGAAAGCAGAAATAAAATCTTGAAAGAAGTAATTTTTAAAAATAAAGCCCCTCCCCCTCTAAATTTCATGTATTCTAAAAAGACTCAAGTAAGAGAAGAGGAACATGATTTAGAGCGAGGCTGACTTGAGTTTTAGTAACATCTCTACCATTTACTAGCCATGTAACTCCACTAAATGTCAATATCCTCATCTATGTAATGAGAAAGCTATACCTATCCAGAAGGCTATGTGAAGTTCCTGGTCCTGAGAAGGTGATCAGTAAATGATTAACTACTCTAGTTATCATGGTATGGTACTGACCACTTGGTCTTTAGGTTAGGTGACTGCCTGTCTCTTTTCTGCCTTCTCCAGCACCTGCATACCCCCTGTTCTGCATCTGTTCAATGGGGATACAACCAGTCTCCATCAAAACTCACCAGGGAATGGAGATAACAAAAGAGCTGGCAGAGACATTATGCAAATACCAAATATTATTAAAACATTAATGAACTCTGGCAATTTCCCTGAATTTTGATAAATGGTGTTTATTATGCACTGCCAGCCTCTCACACAATCTGGGATCTCAAATATTAACTAGATAATAACAGCAATCATTCTCCCAAAAAGACCAAGGTATAGAGAAATAAGGAGTGAATCTAGATGATTCCAGCTAACACCGGCCTCCATAGAAATCATAATCTCTGTACACAGAGTATTAGGACACATCACAGAAACTACAGTGACCACCGGTGGGCTCAGACCAACCCTACAGCCTGCACAGAATCCTGCTTTGATAGAATGGTAGAGTGTCTTGGTACTGACAGGTCACTAATAATCACAACTGTCTACCACACTTTTGCTCTTCTGGGTAAAACTGTCTCCAAACTAGACAAAATGAAGAGGGTCTGGGAGCTGGAGGGGCTTCACTCCAGACTAACAATCTTACACAGAGAATGGCATGTCTCACCACTCCCGACACACACACACACACACACACACACACACACACAACTGCCTGAAACCAGAGGCAGCATTTTTCTCAGCTCCATTAGAGGCGTGTACCCAATTCCTAGGTCACTTCATTCTGTGTGAGGGGATAATATTTTTAAGCTGCGGACAATTCTCAGCTGCAGCAGATACAGAACAAAGCTAAGAGGACTCGCCCCACACAAGTCCTAGACATGAGAACCTGGTGCCATCCAAGTGACACCTTAACAAGCTGGGAGTCATTAAGACACCTCATTCGCATGTTCATTAAATAACCAAGGCTATGGCAAGTAAAATGATGTGTACAAAAAGAGATTTTTTTTTTAAGCCAAGCAAAAATCTGCTTTAGAAAAAGTAAATCCACACAGGGACCCTTGCTGTCGCCAACCCTTCACTTGTCTAGAGCAACCAGGACCTCATTAAAGACAAGCAAGGAACTCACAAATGAATGCAGCACCACACACAGGCAAGCTCATTTCGCCATCTGCCTTCTAGTGTCCAGAGGGGCAAAAGGCTTAAATGACACACTACTGAATTTCCTCTCCTGCAGGTGGAAATACAAAATTCCCAGAGGGAAAGAAAGACTTATCTTGCAAGGTCGACTGAGTAAAAAGGAATAGAAGCAAATCTAGTTTACCTGTCAACACAATGCCACCCATGACATTGAACACATGCATAAATCAAGCACCCTGAAATTATTCATTCTCTTATATTCGGATAAAGGCTTTGCTAATTCGGTGTATCAGCTGTGGGGTTAGCATAGAAGTTCCTAATGAGCTAGGCACTTCAGTGTACCCTCCCTACATTCTCCCATTTTCTGACCCATGACTGACTGTCCTAACTGGTTGTGTGACCCAGTACTTTCTTCTAGTAAGTGATCTGGAGCAAGAGACATCAGAACTAATGTGTGGGCTATAGTAACACAATGGTAGACTTGCACTATGTATGCCAAAGAGAAAGGTTATGATCATACAACTTAAATAACTGCCCTCAGCCTTCTGCATATGTATCCACCTTCCTGAGAATCACTGTTGGTTTCCAGATCTAGAAGATGAGTAAGTATTGTAAGCATCCCTCTGGAAGCTCACTCCCATCAGGTTAAAGATTTTTTTTAAATTAATTTCACCTAAATAGTTGAATAGTCAAATTATCTGTTTTTCAACTCCATACACGATCTTGGATACACTTGGGGGAGTGTGGAGCAAAAGATAAAAACCAGCCTTGAATTTTAATATTGTTTCATTCAACTATCCAAAGCGTAATACTACCGGCGGACACACGTTCAATTTATATTACTTCCGCCCCCCTCACTTGGGCTGTGGGGAAGAAAAAAACCTAGTGGAAAAGAAGGTATCCCAGGACAGAACCAGTCACAGAACCAGCTGAAATCCAAGTAGATTTCATGAAGAAGGCAAGAACTATGTCTTCCTCTGTGGCTAAAAGACCTTTCCAATCAACTCCTCCAACACCTGGAAAATTGGCTGAAGACACCTTTGTAGAGCGCACAGGGAGACACGCGTTTGAGCAGCGCTACACCCGAGTGCCAGTTCTGCGGAATGTTCACGGCGGGCCACGGGCTGCACCACCGCCACGGTTCCACTAGTGGAGTCGCCAGCCACGGCGGGGGCTCCCACCAGCGGTCACGCATACTACACCCCAGTAGCAGTCATTGCAGCGGCAGGACACCTTTGGGGGGGACGGGAAGGGTTCGGTCTCCGGGACCGGCTCAATGATTTTCTTTTACACCACATTCCATAATCTTTTTAGGACCGGTTGGTGAGGGGCCTGAGGGTGGGAGTGGGCGGCATATTTTCTAAGCCGGGACGTCTCCGGGGTTGGTAACTCTGAGCACCCTTTGTGGGCCGACGCTGAGACAATACACAAAGAGCAGGGAGCCGGCGCTCCTTTGCGGCCGGATCAGGGCGCCTGGTCATTTTCGAGATGAGAATTAAGAATTCCGTGCTCAGCAAAGAACCCTGGAGAAGCACCGGAAATGCTTCCGATCGTTTCAGTGGGAAGACAATTTGCAAATCAAAGTTGCGGGAACTCTGGGCGCCCAGACTACTTCAGCGGGTTACTCGGGAACACCCAACAAGTTTGGCCACCGGGGCTCGGTATGACAGCGCCGCGCCGCAAGACGGGAGCAGCAACTTGTCGCTCGGGCGTCGAGCCAGGTCCCGGAGCTGTCTCCGCGCCCAGGTTCGGAAGAGGACCCAAGCCCCGGCGCGGGGAAGGCGCAGGTCCAGCCTCCGGGAGCCAAATCCCGTAAGTGAAAGGCGCCTCCGGGTCCCACCTGGACCGCGCTGCTTCCAGGGGCTTCACCCTACGACGCGTCGTTCCGCCACCACCGCCTCACCTGCAGACCAGCCGGCCGTGGCTGGGAAATTAACAAAAGAGCGACCTGGGGGAAAAGGGAGACTCGGCGCAAAGTACAGTAAGGAGGGGAGGGAGGCAGCTCTGCTTTCGGCGCAGAGAGAAGGGGAGAGGCGGAACAGAGATGGCTCATACTCCAGGCACGGGCTCCGGGAAGGAAACCGGGAAGGAAAGAGCTCGAGAAGGGGGAATGGGTTCTCTGCTCCGCTTCCCATCACACACACACACACACACACACACACACACACACACACACACACTCACACTCACTCCACCTCCCCCTTTTTCCTGCTTACCCAGCATGGAAAAGATGAAATCCTTGGCTGTGTGAATCTCCAGCGCTCTCTGGTCGTCGTATTCCCGCTGGTCGTGCTTCGTAAATTCTTGGATGAGTTTGTTCAATTCCTCCACCCGAGCTCCCGACCTGAAATCCAGCTCCGGGAACGCAGGCTTGTTGTTACAGCCCAGGGAGGCTGCCTTGCTGGCGGTGGGAGCCGCCATCTTCATGCAAAACGCGCCGAGTAGCAGCTCCGCGGCAGCGGCGGCACCCACCCCCGCCCCCCACCCCGCCCCCCTGGGCCTCCTCCCCTAGCCGGCTCCCTGGCTTTGGCCCCGGCCCGTGGGCGGGCTGGCGGGCGGGCGTCTGGGCTGGCGGTCCCGGCTCCGTGCGCTCCCGGCGTGCGGGCTCCGGGCGGAGCTGGACTGCAGCGAGGGTGCGTGTGTGGCCCCGACACCCTTTCCTCCGGCCCCACGCCCGCCCCGAGGCTGCGCGTCCCTGCCCTCCCCTAGCCCTCGCGGGCAGCGGCAACTGCGGTCGTAGCGCCGACCTGAGCCTACCCCCAGGCGAGGAAAGTGAAGTGGAAACAATGTGAAATTCACCAGCTCTGAAATCAACAAGCTGCCGGCTCCGGTGTTACGGAGCCAGCACCAGCGTCCCCATTTAAAGGGACAGCGCACCCAGTGGAAAGAAAAATAAATAAATGACAGAGGTCTGCGCACCTATGCCACTTGCCAATCTGTGCCCGGGAAGACGCGCGAGGTGTGGACGTATTTTTTTCTCCACCTCCACCGCCTCCCCCTCCCCCTTACGGGGCAGGGCTTGCCAAGCACTTTCAAGGAGAAGGGAGGCTTCCTCCGTGTCATTTTAAGGGCGGTGTCCCGGGCGAGGACATCTCTGCGTGCGTGTTTACTTCCCTGCCCCGAGAACTCCTGTACCTTTACATGGTGAAGGAAACTGCTTTAAGGGATATGAAACCTATCTTCTACCCTGTTCTGCATAGATTGCCAAACATGATAGGATCAAGTATATAAAAAAAAGAGGTGCACACTTCACCCAATATAGACACTCCTATAACCACTAAAGTAATTAATTTGCCTGGATAACAGCTTATTCCTCTTAACATATAATGAGTTAATGAGGGCCAACCTACTCATAAAAACGGAAACGAAAGTGTGAGTGTGGGGGAGGGGAAATAGAATGAATTGGCCCAGGTTCCAATGACAGTTGAACAGCGAAATGAAAGATCTCCATTCAACAGATAGTTTGAGTGCAAGTCTGGGTGGACAATGATAAGCCAAAGGACATCGTTCCTACAATAGAGTTAAGCAAGTTCAATCTAAGTCATAGTTCTTTAGCCAGAATAGAATCTCAGAGGTGGTTTCAGTGTTTACGAAGTATGTGACTCAAACATTTGGGAGGCCCATTGGCTAATAGAAACAAAGGTTATCCTTCTCCCTAATTCTCCATTTCTTTTCTATCCCCTGGTTTAGGTAAGGTATTTTGCACTTTCCTACTTAGGTTCTCATAGCCAAGAATACAAATTGTTTTGTTAGACCTGAAAGGAAGTCCAGGCTCTGTGATGTGATCCCCTGTAAAACGGGAATAATAATATTCCTGTCTCATAGGGTTTTTTAAGGATTATATGAGATAAAGCAGGTCAAGCACTCAAAGATTGGCATAATTAGTACTGTAGCAGAGGTGAGCTATTATCAGCTTCTACTCTTGTTGCTATGAACTTTAATTCTTTTGCTTTTCCACATCTCTTCTCCACATTATTGTCTCAGTGATCTTTACAAAACACAGATCTGACCACTTACATTTCCCTAGAATTCTTCTCCTCTTTACTCACCAGCTTTACACCAGTGCCAATTCCATACCTGCCTTTTTCTTTTTTAATTTGTATATATTTAAAAAGTACAAGTGCAGTTTTGTTACATAGATATATATTGCATGGTGATGAAGTCTGGGTCTTTAGTGTGATAATGTACATTGTATCCATTAAGTAATTTCTCAACCCTTACCCCTCCCCCATCGTTCTAAGTCTCCATTGTCTATTATTCCATATTTTATGCTCATATGTACACATTACTTAGCTTCCATTTATAAGTGAGAACATGCCCATACCTGCCTTTTTCTTAAAGCTTCACCAAGATCCTCCCCCCAAAGTGGTGGCAACCTTCCCCTCCTTGGAGCCTCCATTGTATCCTTTCAGAAGCTTTCATATGAATTTTGACCTTGTTTTCTCATTGTTCATGCAAGTTTCAGACTATGAGATTCCAGAGTTCGAGGATTACATTGTCTTTGTATTCCTCACAGCACTTGGCCCATACACAAGGGTCCTCTATGTGTATTGAATCAAGTAATGAGTGAGGGCCTTCATCATAAGCAGTTAATTTCTCTTGCTTTTGATTTCCTTCTCCTTTAAACAAATTTTCTCACCCCATCAATATGAAAGAGGGTAGATACATGGCTAGATAAATGCTAGTGGACTGACAAGAGAACAACTTGCTTTGCAGCTCAGCTATGCTGCCCTGAATTGTCACCCTGAGAGAGTGTTAGCATTACCTGGGCAGTAGTATAAGTCATGCGAGCTGTTGGAACTCCAGCACAAATTGATCCACCCCCACCTGTTAATGCTTCTCTTCTGATCAACGGCAGGTATCTGTGAGACTATTGGCTGAGGCAGTTATCCCATAGATCAGAATGGTTTGACTTTGCTTCCAACCCCTGCAATATGGTAGAAATACTATAGACAACAATGTCAGGACACTTCTTCTTTGTTAATTTTCAAAAGCATGAATGAGACATCACTGTTCCCTTGTTTCTATCTTTTCTTGTTATATTTATATTCACAGACAACAGTTAGTCAGCAGAAATTACCCTGTTTGTGCCTTAGCTCTGGGCCTTTGGGAGTTTTGAATGAGTAAATGAGTGGTCTTTCTGATGTTGTTCATTTTCTCCTTTCTATTAACCAGATCAGAATCCTGTAACTCATTGACCCTCAGTGAGCCTGTATGTTTAGAGATTGTAGTTAAGTGGTAAACTAAGTCAGGTGCAGTGGCTCACACCTGTAATCCTAGCACTTTGGGAGGCTGAGGCAAGAGGATTGCCTGAGTTCAGAGGTTCAAGACCAGCCTGGGCAACTTGGCGAGACTTCATCTCTACAATAAATCAAAAAATTAGCCAGGTATGGTAGCGTGCGCCTGTGGTTCCAGCTACTTGGAAGGCTGAGGTGGAAGGATCGCTGGAGCCCAGCAGGTCGAGGCTGCAGTGGCCGGGAGTGTGCCACTCCACTCCAGTCTGGTCGACAGTGAGACTCCAACTCAAAAAAAAAAAAAATTAGCCAGGCATGGTGGTGCATGCCTGTGGTTCCAGCTACTTGGAAGGCTGAAGCGGAAGGATCACCTGAGCTCAGCAGGTCGAGGCTGCAGTGACCATGAGCGTGCCACTGCACTCCAACCTGGACATCAGAGTAAGACTCTGACTCAAAAACAAATAAATAATAATAATAAATGGTCAACTAAATATCTTTCACAGACACTTACAGAACCCTGATGACATTGTACAAATGTTCTTTGTTGAATTAGAATAATAGGAAAGGAACATCAGTAACCAAATGTTTTGTTTCCTGAATTGGTCTCTTAGGATATATATATATTTTTTTTTTTTTTGAGTGAGAGTCTCACTGTCACCCAAGCTGGAGTGCAGTGGCATGATTGTTAGTTCACCATAATCACCCAGGCTGGAGTGTAGTGGCATGATTGTTAGCTCACCATAGCCTCAAAGTCTGGGTTCAAGCGATCCTTCTACCTCAGCCTCTCAAGTAGCTCCCACTACAGGTGCATACCACCATACTTCGCTAATTTTTTATTTTTTGTAGAGACAAGGTCCCACTTTGTTGCTCAGGCTGATCTCAAACTCCTGGGATCAAGCAATCCTCCTATCTCAGCCTCCCAAACTGCTGGGATTACAAGCATGACCACCATGCCAGCTCTTGGGAGATTTTTTAATCTCTGGGCCCTTGTAGACTATGCGCTCTTCAAGGACAAGTGCTGTGTCTCTTCCTCTGTGAACACTGCATTTAATATAGTTCCCAGCCCATCTTGTGACCCTAATTAATATGTTCAAATGAATATATGAAAGAACTAAGGTTAGATGCGGTGGCTCACACCTGTAATCCCAGAACTTTGGGAGGCCAAGGTAAGAGGATTGCCTGAGCCTGCAGGTTCAAGACCAGCCTGGGCAACTTGGCAAGACTTCATCTCTACAATAAATCAAAAAAATTAGCCGGGCATGGCGGCACATGCCTGTTGTTTCAGCTACTTGGAAGGTTGAGGCAGAAGGATTGCCTGAGCCCAGCAGGTCAAGGCTGCAGTGGCTGAGAGTGTGCCACTGCCCTCCAGCCTGGGTGACAGAGTGAGACTCCAACTCAAAAGAAAGAAAGAAAAGAAAGAAGGAAGGAAAGAAGGAACTGGTGCCATCCCATCCCGCAAAGTCCAGAAAGTCTGTATGTGGGTGATTTTTGCTACAATTTACATATCTCAATGTAAGCTACCTATGGTTTCTCAGTATCAGTGAAGTGTTGTTATGTAAACATTTCTGCTTCAGTCTAATGAAATGCCCCTATTTTCATGCTTCCCCCCCCCCACGCCCCACCCCCGTGTATGTTAAATGACCTAAGAAAAGGAAGGGAGATAAAAAGGAAGATGAAGAGAAAGAGAACAATTACTAGAAGATGTTAAAGAGTATCTGAATCTTGTAATAAAAATGCACATTTCTAGGGTTTTGACAAATGTCTCAAGAAAAGTCAATAGAATCTACCACCTAAATAAGCACTATGATGGGCCCTTCCTTCAGTTGCTCTTGCAACATCAAACAGTACTGAGAAACCCTGCATTTCCAAACTGCTGTTCCACTTAGAGTTAGACCTTGCCCTCTACTCCTCCACTCCGAATTGTATTAGCATGTGAAAGAAGTCTTCATCTTGCTTCTGTGGAGCTGTTTGTTGTTAAATACAGCTCTGAAGTTCTGTGGCAAACTCAGCCATGAATAACTGGGCTGTGCAGAGTATGTATTAAAAATAGCAAGCTCCACATCCACATGATGGATTAACAAAATATAATTTTAAACAAAGATTCTCCGGTCTGAAGGAGATTTAAATAGCAGCCTAGGCTACAAGATCTGGCCTTTTGGGGCAACCGGTTTCTCAATACAAGTCTAACAAATAGGAGTGACCTGGGTTTCTTATGGTTTGAAAATGCAGGCAGGAAAAAAGAGACAACATCACAGACACGTGGAATGTTGACAGGAGAAAGAACTTGGAGGATGAATCGCAGCTACCACCTTTATTTTGCAGGTAGAAGAACTGGGGCACAGAGAGGGAAAGGAGACTTACCTGGATAGTAGAGACAACTCTGTTTCTATTTTTCATACTAATTTCAAACTTAGTAAATATTTATTGTGTTTCCAGATTGCCTGAAGGGGCATGCAAAATGCCATGGAATTCTATCAAAATCATGCTAAAACAAAGCAAGCAAGCAAAAGGACAGTGGCCCCAGGGC